GTTGAAGCTATGTAAATGTTAAAATTTGCTGTATACATAGTCCAGCATAAACGCCAAACTCCAAACCCAGGAGAAAGGAGTATTAAAATCAGACTGTTTCACTGGTGTTTCTAATGTCCAGAGATTTGCAAACATATTCCTGGTGTGGTTTTCATGGTATTTTTAGTTCAGGGTGAAGCTTGGTTATTCACTGTATATTTTTCTTTTCAGTCGTGTCCTATGGCTTCCTGTTCAAGAAGATTTTCCCCTTCTGCCACGCTCATCCTGAAATACTTTTACTTACAAATTCAGTTAGTTTTAATGTTGGAGAGAGCACTCTAAAAATGTCATGTTCATATACTTTAGGAACTTCGCTGTTTAGTGACACTAGTATTTCCTCAAATATTTGTAGATTGTGTTGTATTTGGCATATATTTGTGAACTGTGTTCGCAGTTGAGTATCTTTGATGAACAAAGAAGAGGTGTATCTTTTGAGTAGTGTTTTATAAAAGGCTGATAAACATGTAGTCAGAATTAACATTTCAGTACTTCTTTTGTCTTATTTAATACAACTGAAATGTTAAAGCATGTTACCTTGCTTAACTGTTGTGGATTGTTTTGATCAGAATGAATCTGATACACTACACTATGAAGAACGTGGTTGTACTAGCCTTTGGAGATTTCTTTTTTTCTTAAAGCTGCCTTTGCTCATTTTAAAAATATGTTTTCTTAAGATAACTAAGCAAATTTCTAAGTTATTAAAATTGAAGACTTTTTTTTTGAAACAACAAGCAAATGTAGTCAAATATTCCTAAATACTTGATTAGTCAAACAATTCCAAAACTAATATCCATTGAAATTAATTAGAATATTGAAATACTTTCAACACCCTTTTTTAGGGGAGCAGAGTATCAGTTGGATTTCTGTCTGTCAGTTTCAAACATTCATAATTTTCCTTAAATTTACCAATTTAGAAGACCTGTAAATAGGAATGGTGCCTTGCACTTTCTCTTCTGCAACATAATCTGAAAGTACCATTCAATCAGTGTAATGTCTGTTTTTCCAAGGAAAAATGACAGTTTTTTACAGTTTCTGATGTTAGTTACATATTCAAAGAAGAAATTAAAAACTGGTTAAAAACAGAGAAATCCGGTTACTTCTTTCTGTCAATTTTAGAGCTCGTTATGATAACTGAGGCTTTTCTTCAAGAAGGTGGAAAGATTAAAAAAATTCAGTTTTGTTAAAGATGTGCTTTCTGCAGTCGTGCTGAACAGGCCATAGACTAGAGCTGTGCAGAACTGCAATTGGGAATGAGATCTGAGCACCAGTATTGTAGTTCACTCTGAACTGCCTGACTAAAATTTTAATAATAAGCATGCAAGCACTCCTCCATAGATGAGCTGCTCATGCTGATCTTCTCTGAAAGTGTTAGTAAGGATCAATATCTATAAAGTTACATCAGTTTAACTAGATAAAGCTATCTAGTTAGACAGAAGTATGTGTATTTAAACTGCATTAACCCTTGCTTGCATTGATTTTGCTGAAGTCAGGCTCTAGTCACAAGTTTCCTTCCAAGGCACTTAAGGCTGGTGTCAGATGTTTTAGTAGTACAGCAGGAAAAAATTTTTAAAAATCGAGGTATGGAAAAAAATTCATCCTAGAGGGTCTATTAATTCTGTAACATTCTCACGGTGTATCAAGTATCATCTTCATTTTGTCCAAATAGTCTCTGGCAGTGCACACCTGAGTCTTTTGCAGTAAGGTGGTTTGTAGGTCTCAAGTTCCTGAATAAACTCATGCTGATTACGTCAGTGGCTGGATAAGCACAGAGGCTTTTCCTTCATACAGTTGAGACTCAAACAGAAATAAAGTATAGTAAGAATAGGGAGTTCATCTAGCTCTAGAAGACAGGCAGGCACAAATGTCTATGTGTGAAAGTCCTTGAAAATAGCTACTCTTTTGTGATCCGTAGATTTTCTTTTCCTGTTGAAGTAACACAAGAGAAATAGGATACTTTAATGTTTGGTGGTGCTGAAATACTGAATTAAACATCATTCTCACAGCTGCAGAAGGCTGGGTTGTGGCTGCCAGAAGCTGTGGAACAGAAGACCCATTTTATGGGTAACATCACTATTTGTGTTTTCATTTGTAGCAGTCCCCTTATATATCTATACAGTAGAATTTCTGTATCATTGATTTTGCCTGGAGGGTTGGTATCATATATTTTAATTGTCTAAAATTCACATCAGCTGTCAGTGAAAATTTTTCAGTATGTCTTAACTGCAAGTTTTTTGATCAGTGTTTGGTTGGGACACTCCACTTGAAAAGATCATTCTTTATTCTTCTCAGAAATATTTTTGATCCTGGTCAAAAAATGTTCTGTTGTAGGAAAATTTGAGAGCATAATAAATCCAGGGGTATGTAGGACATCCTTCATTTAACCTTTATGACAGACATCGTGTTCAAAAATAATCTTATTTCGTGTATGCTTGTCCAGTGCTTGTGTGAATAAGCCTATAAAAAAAAATGTTTTCCTGTGCTACATCAACCCAGAGATTTGACATATGTAAATTACCACCTATAAAAATATCTGTTCATGATTTCCCTGCAGAAAGAAATGAAGCAAGACACTGCCTTTAATTATACTTCCAATTTCTTTTCACACCATTAAATCCAGTAGCTGTGGTCTTCTGTTAATTATGTCCTTTCTTCCATCTCACTCATTTTAATTTTAGACCTATCAACCTGTTGGTTAATTGAGTCAATTGTTTAATTCATTACCTCTAACCTGTGTACTGTCATACACAGTATTTTCTTTTCTAATCCAAATGAGTTGGGTTTTTTTCTTGACCTGGACCAAGAAACACTGATTAGTGGTAGCAACAGTCCTTAGACACTCTATTCAACTTATGCATTTGTTTGGATGTTTTTCTTGATATGGATGTTGGACTTTTTGATGCCTGCAAGCAGTTGGTGCCTGCAAGTTGAGGCCTGTAACAATTAGTGATAAAAGAAGCATTCCATTATACCTTATGTGGTCATGTTGTATCCAGTTGTGTATACCTGGAAGTCAAGAATATTATCAGAATTATGCAGTCTAGGTGAGTCTCCCAAAGAGATCTTACTTTAGAAGTCTCAGAGGGGGAAATGTTAAGACATTCTTCTACCAGGCAATGTTTGTGTTTAACAAGGCCTTACTGATTAAAGATCTACAGAGAAGATATCCTGACCTTGAGAATAGATACATCCTGGCAGAATTGCTCAAACAGGGTGGATAACTTGGCTGGATGACAGAGTTGGGAAACATCCAAATAGAAGAAATTGTCCTCAAAAGACTCATGACCATAAAAGGGAAAAAGGAGTAGGGGGATAACTCCCCAAATGGCCACTGATGACCACCTGGGACCCCCGTACATGCATAGTGTAGTTTTGCAATGCCAACATTATGTAAATGTAGTAGATAGGTGGAAAGGCAGAGACTTCTTGGAAAATGTATGAAGATTCATGTTTTAAAGGTATATAAAGGCTGAACTTTTTTGGTTTAGCGTATGCACATTAGGTGGAGTGATCCCCTGTGCATCCAGTGCTGGCGTAAACAATGCCTGCCTTTTAAAACTTCAAACGGTCTTAGAAGGTTCTTTTGAGACAGGATTGACAGTAACGTTTTTCAATAATTTGCTAGTGAAAACTTGTATTCTCAAATTCTCCTATAATAATTCTGGTAAATAGCAAGGCAAAGTTAACTTAGGACACAAGGAATCCCTGTAAAATTGAAAAAACCTTGTTCTTTCCTGGGAGTTTGTAGGTGTGTGTTGTCTAATGATGCATTTTTGATTTACAGCATTTCAGAAAGCTGAGTGCATAGATTTCTCTTCTGATAGTGCACAGCCATGCACTCATAAAAATGGAAATTGAGATCTTTTCTACAACTGTTGTACTCTAAGCATGGCAGCTAATGAGACAGCCCAGGGGAGCGGGATTAGCTGAGGACCGGTTGGAGGAAGCAAGTAGCTGAAGTGGAGGGTGAGCAGGAGGAGAAAACTGACCTGCAGGTGAGCACCCTTCTCTAAGTGCACTGCTAGAGCTGAAGTCCTTGCTGTGATCAACTGCTGCTGCTCCTCAGCTCTCTACTAGAAGTTATTTCCTCCTCAGGTCTGCTAGATGAGCCTTTTGTAAGACTGTTATTTAACTGTCCTGTTCACAGTTAGTATAGTAGCCTTAGTCAAGGAGCCATTACCCATGCTGGTACGTCAATAAATATGAAGGGGGTTGATGACAAGCAGTTCCCAGTGGTCTAGGTAAAACAACCTCTCTAGTAGGCACAGCAGCAACCAGCAGATGTATTGGAGAAGTAGTGGTCTAGTGTCTTACCGCTGTTTAGTAGCAACTTCTGACTCTGGCTGTATCTATGTGTGAAACTGCATTATCCATATTCCAAATAAATTGGTGTTTGTTCAATAATAGAAAATCAGTTGGAACATCTGGACCAGTATGGAAGAACAATCCAACAGCAAAAAACATTTGCTGTCTTCTTGAAATGAAGAAAAAGTAGGATAGGAGGATAAAGCATCTCTGAAAAGAAGGAAGTGATAGAAGAAATTAATTTTCCTTCTAAAAAAATTACAAAAAAAACCCTCTAAAATACCCAGTAGACAAGCCATGATCAGTTAATCTTTAACAAGGTACTGGTGCATTTCTTGAGTCTTGGGAAGGTAGTGTGTATTTTTGCATCTGTCAGGCACAGAGCAATAACTAAGTACATCCTTGCATAGTTTATTATCCTTGTTAATCTGAAGCCTGTAAAAATTGATAATGTATCTTTATGTTTTATAAGGGAAATCAGTGTGTCAACTGTAGTGTCAAGGGAGGTGAAACAATTTTTCTGGATGGATTAAAAACCTTTTGAAAATGAAGATTACATTAAGGAGAGACTAACAAGAATTGAATATCCAGTTTGGGTTTATGCAGTTCTACTAAAATTAGGGGAACATTTAATAAACTCTTGCTTTTTCCCCCCCTAATTCTTTTTCATTTGTGACTTTCAGAAATCCTGCCAGAAACCTGTGGACAAATATATTGAGTATGATCCTGTTATCATCTTGATTAATGCTATTTTATGTAAAGCACAAGCATACAGGCACATTCTTTTCAATACAAAGATAAATGTAAGTTGCTATGCCCCTACCCTGTGACTTTTTTTGGTTAAAGATCTGTTTACATTTGGCAAGTTGATTATTTTAGAGATTGTTCTCCTCCTGCCCTTCCACAAGGCAAGCTGAACCAGTTAATATCATGAATAGAACACATGAAATCAATCTCAAACTCCAGTTGTTACTAAGAAAGTTACTGTCTCCACAGTAGTAATGCCACAATACCAGCAAATATAGCAGCCAGTCATCTTACATGTTAAAGAGAAGAGAAGGAACTGTATGGAATTGTTCATGCCATTTTCTACCCCTCTAATTTGTCTGTCATGTTAATTGATGTTAAAAGGATGATGTGCTAAACTATATTGGAAGAGAAAGATCTAATTTCCAATTTATTTCAAATTAAATTTCTGTTGGAAACAATTCTTTCTTCCATGAGCTATAGTAGTATAACATACCATATTAACAATAGTGTGCCAATTAAACCTACTGTACTAATTTCTCATTAGTTTCTTCCTGAGTAATTAATCATGCCCTCAAAACTATAGCAAAAGATAGTGGCTTTCACATAAAGCATTGTTGATGTAGTTACATAGTCAGCCTAGTTGTGCTGGCCAGTCTGGAGTGGAGAGGTATAGCTTTTCTGACAACATTGTGTATTTTTAGTTTAAGGATTGATTTCCCAGGAGCGGGAAGCTAATCTAGAGCAAACTATCCAGGCATAAGTGTATGCTGTGTTTGTGTTGATGCCTCTTGGCCAGTCCAGTGTTAAGCAATGTAGATAAATATGCCCCCCTTGTCTTTCAGGCATAAATCTGACTAAAGATTTTTAATTAATTCAGTGCTTCTGGAGACTAGTAATTATGTTTTTCATGAGGCTTCTGCAAGAAGTATTCCATCTGTGGAAATTTCATCTGTTCAGATAAATTGAGTTGAACTGTAAACTGGCTCAGCCTGTGCATGTATATGCAATTGTCATAACTAGTCTCTAATGGAAAAAGTAGAAGCCACGCACAGAAATTGCATCAATTTATTTAAATCTCTATAAAATCAGAATTCACCCCACATACACACTGGCTTATAGACTGTTTAATGTGAAAACACACTAACTCTGGGCCCTCATGACATCATTTTTGCAGTCACTTCAGAGGATATTTTGTTTGGTTTGGTTATATAGCTCCATTTATTTTTGGTACCTCACCCTTATCTGAACTAAAAAATGTTTTTGGCGTAACTACACTACCAATTTCTTCTAATGTAGATTGTCCCAGGGAAAAAGACAAATGAGGCTATTTAAACCAATTCACTGAATGGAGTAGTTGCCTGTAAACTGAAATTTTTAATAGTACAATTCTACTAGTTATGGCATAATGTTGTTTTTATATTCCGAACTGAAACAGCCTTCCCAATTTAAAAAAGGATAGAGCAGGCTTTAGAAACTAGTTACACACCTGCTTCTATATGGAATTGTTCATGCAGTTTTCTACACTCTCTGTTTATCATTTTAATTGATGTTAAAAGGATGTGCTAAACCCGTGGCTCAACATAAGTAATTTGCATATATTTCTGAACAAACATAATAAACCTACAGAGCTTGTGTGTAGAGATGTTGAAATGTATTTTAAATACCAATTTTATACTAATACTTTAATTTATGCTGATTTAATAGGAATGCTTTTATTGTTCTTTCACTTACCAGATTCATGGGAAGCTCTGCATATTTTGTTTGCTCTGCGAAGCTTATCTCAGGTGGTTGCAACTACAGGATTCAAGCCAAAATATAGATCCTGATGACTTAATCAGATATGCCAAGGAATGGGATTTTTATAGAATGTTTGGTATAGCTTCTTTAGGTAAGATCAATGATTAGTTCATGTCACAATCTACTCTTTAAGCATTAAATAACTTCATGAGTCTTTCAACAAGCCCATATGGCAAAAATTAGCACAGAATGGATGTCATGTCCAACCCAGTATGGTTAAACGATTATATACATACTCTCTAATTTGCCTTCATTTAATGCAGATGCATATTTTGATCTAAATTACAGTTCAGACTGATATGATCAGCATTAGATATCAAAATACTGAAAAGTGGCAATATCGAGAAATCTTTATTTGAGTCCATTTACATAGTTTGAAGACCAAAGTAGAGCTTAGCCTTATTCTGTATTTCATGTTGACTTCAAGGTTTATTATTTATTAAGGTGATCCAACATTAAGGATGATCCTTACAGAAGTAAACAATAATTGGGAAAAGGTACATCTCTTTGGGTTTTTTTTAAATGAATACACAAAAATACAGAGCAGTGTCATCACTGGTAAATACTTTGGTGCTCCAAGACTGTGTTTGAAGGGGGGGAGGTTTTTCTTTTTATTTTGGTTAATACTTCTCTCAAACTTTTTCTGGTGATAAGTGTTTAAATCAAGCCTGCAGACTAAAACTAATACTTCCCTTAGACATTCAGAATTTAACTTCAGTCATTTATTTTCTAATGTTGCTCTAAGTAGGTTTTCATAGCAGGTCAGTAAAAAAGTTGGAACTTAGTTTTCAGTAGTAATTCACCTATTACAGACGTTGTGAGAGTCATTTTGACATCTGCATTGATATCAGTGTTACACAGGATCGCAGTGTCAAAAAAAAGTCTTAACACCTCAATGATACTTTCACCTTAGTGTTCTTTCTCATGCTGGATGGAAAGAGTTCATTGCTGGTGACCTTTTCGAAGAAGACAAGTATTGATTTTGTTTTACAGGCTAACAGACAGTTGGAAAAAAAAAAAACCCTCTCCTTTTGTTAAAAAGGAAAAGTAAAGAGGTTCTTACACTAAACTTCCTGTGCTGTTTGGTTTCAGAAATGATGAGTATGACAATCCTACAGATAGAATTCTGTGATAGAATTATTCTGAATGTCGTGATACTGATTTAGTTTAAGTAAATAATAGTAACATTTGCCTATTAAAATGAACAAAAGAGATGGAGGACATGTTCAGATTTGTGTATGTCACTGAAATTCATCCAAGAAAGGTCTCGATTTTGGTGCTTCCTTCTCTCTTTCCAACTTGTCTTATTTCCTCTTAGAACAAACTTCATTTTTGATTGGCATTTTTATTACCTTATGGTGGATGAGACTCGACATGCTGAAAACAAAGTCTGACTTCATTTTACTTCTCAAAGCACTGCTGTTGTCCAGCTATGGAAAGCTTTTGCTAATTCCAGCTGTTATTTGGGAACATGACTACACGCCTTTGTGCCTTGCATTTATAAAAGTGTTTGTCTTGATATCAAACTCTCAGGCAATTAGAGGTACGTTTTTCCTTTTTATTTACAGCATTATTTGTATAGAATGTGTGTGAGAGAATGCAGCTGTTATAGAAGGCATATTTTTTAATCAGTATCAGTTATGTGACTGAAAGAGCTCTATACTAAAACTGTGTTATTTAGACTTTAATAGAAAGTGAATGAAACAAAATGCCTTATTAAAAAAAGAAAAAGCACCTCTTATCTCACCATCATCTTTTTGTATATGCTGTATTATATCCATCTGATCCATCAGTTAGAATTGGAGACAACTCATCATAGATCATTGAAACATAAAACAGAATTCTTTGTGTGCCTGGAAAATGAAAATTTCATGTTAATTTTACGCATGGCTTTGGAATGCAGACTTTTAACAGACTTGTGTAATTTCTTATACATACAAATTAATATGAATTCTCAGGTGATTTCTATGATCGTCTTAAGATAAATTTGTTCTGTTTTCTTTTGCAGTTACACTGAATTTGAATCGAATGCTCCCTTGGTTGGCCATTTTCCTTGGATTAATTTTTGAAAATGGTGTGGTCTGCTTGTTCAAGAAAATGGGATGGGATGTTTGAAATGTCAGCCCAGATCTGAAGAAATAACAACAATATGATAATTTTCTAAGAATGATCTCTGCCAGCAATGTCCAAAGACACTATTTTTGTAGTGATAAAGCAGGTAATAGATAACAAAAACTTGCATTAGTGGTGAGTGTAGAGAGTTTTAGGATGAGTCAAAATGAGAAGTTTGGCTATTTAATGTGGTGAACCATAAAACTTCAACCTTAACATGTTTATTTTCCCATTAAAAAATACGAATGTGTCACTATCCTAAGAGCTTTATAAATCTGGCTGCACAGCTATGGCTGTAACAAAAAAGGTATATTTAAAAAATTCAGCACTGCTACCAATCATTGCATTTTGGCAGAAAGAGGAGGATGAATTGTTCCCTTAAGAGGAAGGAAGACAGTCAGTGGAAAAATATAAAAGCCAAAATTGTTATTTCTGCAAAAACAGATTTTCAAAGAGAGCAGTGAATATGTGCAAACAGTTTATTAGAAAAAAAGGCAAGTATTGCAGAGTAAAACTCTGGAGCCATCTCTAGGAACTGTAGTTTTAACTGACTTGAAATTTTGTGTGATCTTATAAATGCTGCTGCTTTGTTCTGAAAGCTGAGAGTGAAAGGACTCTGATCCCCCGCATCCATGGTTGTTTGGGATACTGCTGCTTCTGCATTTAATATTAAGCCACATCTCCCACACCGAGCCCTCATCTGGCAGCAGGTTGAGTGGAAGCAAAAAATGAAATATGAGGCTGCTCAGCAGTAGAGTAGTACTTGTTAAAAAAATCAATAAAACAAAAAACCCCACCATATTTAGGCTTAAATCAGTGAAGAAACATTTATAGAAGTCCCGCACCTTTTTCCCCAGCAGACATAGAGAGGGCTAGATGGCCCACAAAGGAACTGGCAGAATAGGTTTCTGCAAGACAATAATTAGAACACAAACCAACTTCTGTGCAGACCAGTTTCCATTATGTTCCATCCAATGTTGAATTCTCCTGCTTCAGTTCTGCGAGGCTATACTGTCTATAGGTACTACTTCCATTCTTTATTTTCCTCAGATGCAGTCTCCTATCTGTGTTTTGTAAAATGCATCAAATAACATTTTGCAACATTTCAATTTAATTCCAAACAGGTTTAGAGTAAGTATAGATTATGACACAGAAGACATCAGACATGTTTGTCTGATGCAACTGCCCATGCCACGGTGAGGTTCTCAATCAGAAAAGCAACTGTTGCTGATTCTCTTTTAATAGGTCAGAGGCTGACACCACTCATGTGCCATGTGTTACAGTTTACATCTTTCTGAGCATGTAGAGAAAGCAAAAAAAACCCCAAATTGCAACCTCTTTAAGTGCATGAGACAGTTTAACCCTGCAGCTGCCCCAGCAAGCACATAATTGTGAAGGTGTGTGAGGGATCCACCTTGCTACTGGTGTGAATCAGTAGCCAGACAGTTGCGTGTAGGTGTGCAGTTGCTCATTGGCTGAGCAGCAGCTTTGGCAATATGGTACCTAGAACATGCTTTGCTTTACGTAACTAGATCTGGGGAGACACACCACCCCCAAAAGCTTTTTTAAAAACAGAATGTTGCCAAAGGTGCTTTGAGTAGTGCTCATCTTCCTCCCACATCAGCACACAGCATTGCCACAGAGGCTGCAGGTTGAGAAGGTGCAAAGAGAAAGAGCAGTAGGTATTTTAGAAAAGCTTCAGGGATGCTGGCCTGGCTTGCTTTCATTTTCCTCCTTCATCTTCTGCCTTCAGATTAAGAGGGAATGAAGTTCTGCTGCAGCAGACAGGATGACAGAAGAATATGCACTAGGAAAATGCTGGTGCCTGCTGAGCCAAGCCCTGCTTGTTATTGTAGCTGTCATGGCTTTTACCTAGCTCTCTGTTCATCTTAGTACAGCCTTAGCATTGCAGCTGATAAAGTTTCTCACCACCCTGTATGTCATTCTTCAGAAAATGTGCATTCTTTCTACTGGCAATTTTGTTTTCCTAATGATGTGACAACATTGCTTTGGTTTGTTCCTTTCAGGTTAGATTATTTTTTTTTTTTTAATTAATCATATGTGTCATGGTTATACACAAAAGACTTGTTTTCAGAAATTTCTCTCTTGTCTCCTCTGCCACTGGTTTCAGTCTAAAGGCCAAGTGGAGCACTTTTAAGTGTGACTAATGCAAGGGAAAGATCATGTGTTACATGTAATGTAAATACTATCTAGTCAGCAGCAAAACTGTAAATACAATGCATATAAATTTTGCTTGGGAACAGTTTTCTTAAATTAAAGTTTCTTTTGAATTTTAAAAAATTGATTTGGGGACATTTTCTGAGTTTTATTCAAAAGACCTAGAATGGACACGAACACATTCTAAAAGAAGAAATGCTTATCCGCTGTGTCACATACGCAATAACATATCAGTTATGTACTCTAATGCTATCAGGAGCCACCACTGTCCTTCTGCAACTTGAGGATGGTGAAGAAAATTAAGAGCTACAGAGCTGTGGAACGAAAGCAGGTGCTGTACAGGTTGTCAGTCTTCAGAGGCATCATTATTGTAGGACATATGTAGGACATCCTGCCTTGTCTAGTTTTATGGCTACTCATTTACCACAACTAGCATGACAAATACACTAATATTTCATAAATCTAGGGGGAACTTAAGGATACCTGCTGTGTGTGGGGGCAGGTGTGTGTGCATTTTTGGTGGCTTTGGAAAAGGGTTCCATATGGTGCTTCAGAGAACTATTTTAAGGGCCTGCCTGTTAAAAGCAGTCATCTCTCTCTCTTGACCTCCTCCTCTTTCATAATGTCTTTGTAATTAAAGAGTCATCGTTGCTGGAAGATGTATGACAAATAGCCTGCCCTTTCTATATATCTTCAGTTACTTCATTAATTTACAGGAAAGGATTTACTTGGGTTAAAATTATAATAGCTTGCAAATGAACCCATGTAAACTCTTTTGAGTTTTGCTTGGAATCAAAAGGGATATCATGGCCTATGGGAAATTCGTGGGCCTGTGGAGCAAATTCCAGAATTCTGTTGGATGAAATGCACAGAAGAGCCACTGATGTTAATCAGACTTGGGTTGAGCAATGGTTTAATGATTGTGCAGTAGAGGCTGGGAACTTTAATTGGGTCCACAGGTCAGGTTGCAAGTTTTTAGAAATTACTCTATACAAAATTGGAAACTTAAGAGAATAATCTAGGAAGGACAATGTAGGTGTCAGGCAGACTTCTACAAAGTTAAGAGTTGAGAAGACTATAAAAAATAAGGGGATAGAATCTCAAGAAAAATTAATATGTAAGAAAAGATGCAGTATAGATGAGTCTGTATGATTAAACAAATATAGGAACATCCTACTCCTAAGTTCTCAAAGGATTAACATGAAGGAAGATTTTGTAGACGTTTTTGTAATAGTCTAAGTGATAACATGAAATGGCAAACAATGTCTTTCAAACAGTAAAGTCTATGGGTTTCCCTAGAAAAGCTACTGATAACCTCATTACTTCAATAGTTTACACTCCATCCTTGAAAATACACTTTTATAAGTAGAATTACCAATTGTACAGAGATGGAATTAGTCACTGTGAATAGGAAGAGCTGTGCAACAGCAGAGCTTCTCCCTTCATTCTGCAATAGCGTGTGTTGCGTTAGGTTTTGCTGGTGGTGGCAAGAGCTACTACCCTTGTGACCTCATGCAAGTACAGACAAGCGAGCCCTTTCTTCCACAACAAGTTGTATCTCAGGCATATAAACTCCCATTTGTTAGCCCAGCCTTCACCGAACTGAAAGTAAAATAGGACATCTGCACTGGAAAACTATTAGCAGCTGATTTCTCATAAAACAAGAAAGCCATTGTTTTTCAGGAGCTTGGATGCTTTTGCAATCCATCAACTCTCCCCCAATTGGGTAGTGTTAAGGACCACAGTGCCATCTGGAGTTGGAAAGTAAAGCACTATTGTTTCCAAAACTAGAAGGAACATAAAAGCACTATGAGTACGTAGTCTTTGATTAATTTTTGTTTTGTAAAATCACAAATACAAGCTTTAAAAATCAACATTCATTTTCAGTTTGGAGAAATGTTAGAGTGAAGTTAGTGATGAAAAACAGGTCACAAAATACTTGTTTTGGTGAGTTGGTATCAAGGTCAATTCAATATATGCGCCATGAAAGGTATAAAATGCAAATGATTTTAGCACAGCATCTCTTTGTTTAAGACATAAACAGTCCTGCAAACTGGGATTGTTCTGAGTAGCCTTGCTAAGCCTAGAGAAAATTCTTGTGCAAAAGACAGTGAATGCATTCCTCTGATGCTAAAAATCAATAGGAAATTTGTTGCTGAATTAATTTGAAACCCAGGTTGCTGCAGTCAGAATTTGCAGGAAAGCATGTATAACAAGATTCCCGTTTTTGCCCCTGCCTCTTATAATGCCATTGGGACCTTCTTAGTCTTTCCAATAATGCTTACTATCTGAGGTGGCCAAAAAGAAGATCTGAATGTGATGAGCTTTTTAAAATCTTTTTTCGAAACATGATCTGCTGTCCTTAATTTTTAAAGCTCTTTTGAGCCCTGTATAGGTAAACGGCAGGTCTGCAAAGCAGCTAGGCAATACTGCCAATGGTGTTTTAGTTGCTATTCGTTAGGATAATGTATATTGCTTGAGTTTGTTTGTGGGTTTTTTTTCCTGAGTGAAAATGTGGTTTAAATTCCTTTACATAGTAGCGTAAGAGTGTGAACTCACACAGTTGGTATACCTGCTGGCTGCTACAGAAATAAATCCAGATGACCCCCATAATTTCCTATAATCTCTTAACTGTAATTCTGAGTACATTTTTAGGCCAAAAGAACTGTTGTCCATAAACTGCACAGAAGTGTGCCATAGCTATCTGAGCAGAGGAGTGGGGACCTGAATTAAGACATGAATTCTGATCTTGGCTATAAGACCAGCTACCGCTGTGACCTTGAGCAAGTCATATATGTGGCTCCATAAAATTATTGTACCTTCATCTTTGCAGGGTTTGCGGGATGATTAATTTGTTCAAGTCTGTGTAAAAAGATGAAAAGCATTAAGTCCTCTCAGCTCCAGGTTGTTGGAAGTTGGTCAACACCATGAATGTCAGATATTGAAACTGACATGCCAGGAGCCAGAGAATGAATATTGGAGGTGACTTGTTTCAAGTCTTTGCTGTCTTAAGGGAAGCTTTAATTCTGACCCTTGCTGGAATACAGTTCTATAACATACATATCTGAAGATTTTTAGGGCTATATACAGAAAATCATGAATCCCTTACGAATTTTAAGTTACTGCAGCTGCTGTGTGCCAAAATAAATCTGAACTTAGTTTTAAAACTTGGGAGGGGAGAGAGCTAGCACATTACCTGATCTTACAGCAATCTAAAAGGAAAATTAAGGTATCTTATTTGACAGTTTGAGGCTTTGAGGTAGAAAACACAGGTAGGTCTTGTGTAAAAATTATTACAAACTATTGGTATCTTTTCAGTAAATGAATCCAGTAACATTGCACAAATTTAAACAAGGAAACAAAATTGCAACAACACAGAAGCACTTCTACTTCCCTCTCACTCTCTTCTCAGAACTGCTAATTGAATCTGTGGGTGTTACCTTTATAGTGATTCCCTGCCACACATGCTGTAGCCCATCTGATGGCTGTCATGCAGGCATCACTCCTGAACTTTGATCCTTTCTTTGGTCTCTCACTTCACTTCCAGTATAAAGCTTTGGTTTTAACCTTCAAAGCCACTGATGTATCATGTCTTGGCTATGGCAGAGATAGC